TCCATCCATCCATCCATCCATCCATCATCTAAACCGCTTATCCTTCTGGGTCACGGTGGGGTGCTGGAGCCTATCCCAGCTGTCATTGGGCGGAAGGCAGGATACACCCTGGACAGGTTGCCAGTCCATCGCAGGGCAGACAGACATACACAGTCACACCTAGGGGCGATTTAGCATGTCCAATCAGCCTGACTGCATGTTTTTGGATTGTGGGAGGAAACCCACGCAGACAACAGGCAAACTCCACACAGAAATGACCCTGGTCACCCGGCCGGGAATCGAACACAGGCCATTCTCGCTGTGAGGTGGCAGCGCTACCGACTGCGCCACCGTGCTGCCCAAATAAATGCTCTTTCCCCCCCCCCCAGTGGGGATGTAACCTCGTTTCAGTTCAGATATTAGTTCCGTATTTGAGTCAGTGTTTAAACTGAGTGCTGTATGTGGTTAATAGCCTCCCAAATCGACGTCTTCATATCAGCATGATGAGCTAATTTGGAAAATTCAGATGCATCTGAGCAGCAATACATCAAACTACAATCGGCGCTGATCTCACATTATAATCCAGCACACGACTCTGAGTCGAGGTCTCTTTTGTTCTAATGCTGAATATTATTAATGGAGTTTCTCTTTTCCTCTCAGTACCTTCTTCTCTCTCCTTAAATCCTCCAGAGTTATAGACTCTGAATGAGGCCGTGCATGATTCTGTAGTCATGCCCGTATTAGGAGCTCTGTGTCTAAGCTGAGGCTCTCTATGGGAAAACTGAATGGTGTGTTTTGAGAAACGCTGCCATGCTGTCCTGTGGTAAACAGAAAGGTTCCAAACTCATTATGTCCTACATACATTTTTCTCCTGAATATCACCAGATCCTCTGGATTACAAGAGAGTCGCGATGTGAATAATGCAGCGTAACAAGCTAACAATGCTGCACATTGAATTGATGTTGCATGAAAGTAAGTCTACTATTAAACTTCCACACAATAATATACCCACACCCTCCACTCAAACTGGAGCATAAACCGCAGACATATTTGACAAAGCTTGCTGGTTAGTGTGGGGTACTTTGGTGAGGATGCCAGTTCAGTGCACAGCAGTGATAGCTAGCATGCAGCAATTTTCATATTTCAACATTTTACTGACCTCGTTATTGTTGTGTAGCAAAATGTGTCAAGTTTGGAACATTTTTGTTTACCACAGCATGCAGTGGAGGTGACGCCATTCATTTTCCCATATGACTGAATATTTTTTCAACATGCTTACAATCATTAGATTCATCTGCTTGGGGAAGGGGTCTGAAGCGCAACTGAAGAGACAATACTCTTCTGCATGTTGTGTGCAATTACACATTTCCACCAGAGAGGTCTCCATATCCCAGAATCTTACATAGTGCAGCTTTGCAACTGATTTTCCTGATTGCAAAAGTATTTTTGTCTTGTGATCACAAAGCTTTTTATTTCAAAGAATTATAAATAGTAAAAATGAATTTTCCTGGTAGGGAAAAACTGCTTAGACTTATGGTTGGGTGGATTACTTTAAAAAAGTATTCAGTTATAGGTTACCTGTTTAAAAATGTATCTGTAACCTAATCCAACAGATTACTATATTCAAGTACCTTGTCTTTTTAAACGTACAACAAAGACAAAAGAAAAAAACATTTCAAGAAGGCTTTTTCAACAAGAGTTTAACTAAACACTAAGTACAAAGGAAACCTGCTCTGTTTTAGGAAATAAAATGATAGACAGGCAGCTCAATTGTCGATGTTGTATGTGCGCTATTTGTACTTCTATTTGAGAATCGGCTATTCAAAAAAAGAAAAAAGTGTAGAGCTGCTCTTATTGTGCTTTGAACCTATGACTATATACATACATTTATATATATATATATATATATATATATATATATATATAAATATATATTTATACACATATATAAAAGACATGTACTGCTTTTATACATGGGGCTTCATATTAGGCTACATTCACATCACCAGGTTGAAGTGGCACAAATTCAATTTTTTACCATGTCACTCAGATCTGATGTTTTCAGAACAGTGTGGACATGCAAATCTGACCTGAGCCACTTTCATATGTGGTCTTAGATCAGATACATATCTGATTTGTGGAAGTGCGACCCTAATGAGAACTCTCAGATTGGAATGCATGTATTTTTTTCACTATGTATGTGCCATCATTCAGCATGACCGAGGCAGCAGCACTTGACCAGAAATTAAAGCCAGTAAAAGGTGGTAAATCAACACATCTCACCCTTTTTGCCTTCGTCTCACTGTAATAATGAGCTGTTCAGAGTTAATTATGTTAGCAGCGAATCTTGTTCTGCTGGTTAATTTGTGTGCTGTTTACAATGCACATGATTCATTAATGATGTGACGCTACTGATTAGGATGTGCATGCGGGTCATTTCAGGACGCAAGTTTGTTTACATTAATGACAGATTTGAGTCACTTACCTAAACGAGTGTGAACCATAATGGATCTGAGCAAAAAATCTGATTTGAGCTACGAGGCTTGTATTGTGAACGTAGCCTCAGTGCATCAGGCCTGCAATTCATTGATCGCATTTGTCACGTCATTTGTAGACGGTCCCTACACAGTTACAGCAGCCACCATAAATGTGCCCTACAAATATAAAAAGACATAATTTCACATGAAAACTAAGTGGGAGCTGATTATCTTAGTTACAAATAATCACCATTTATACATATTAACGTAATGTTTTGCTCCCATCATCCGAAAGCGCTTGAAAAAATAAATTGTTTATGCAAAAATGAAACTAACTTTACGGCTCACAAGACTTCATGTTTGGGAGCTGTTAGTAAACGTCAGGTCTCTTCAGCATTAAAATCTGGCAGGTTAACATTAGCAAAATCATGATTTAAATCCAGTCAACTGTAGAATTTTATGGTGCAACAAATTAGCTTCCTGTCCGATTAGTTTGCTGCTGCAGAATCAGGCGCTATGGAAAATCAAAGTAAACGCCTGATTCAAACATCATCAGCAAAACACTGTAGATATTAGTTAAGCCAAAAAAGCTAAAATGTCTAAAGATCATATGCAGTTTGAACATAATCCTGCCAGGAATCACTCACTCACCATCTAAGCTGCTTATCCTCTTGAGTCACGGGGGATGCTGGACTCTATCCCAGCGCTCATTGGGCGGATGGCAGGAAATACCCTGGACAGGTCACCAGTGCATCACAGGGCAGAGAGGAACTCACACCTAGGGGCAAATTCAGTATCTCCAATTAGCCTGACTGCATGTCTGTGGACTGTGGGAGGAAACCAAATGGGATGAATATGTAAACCCCACACAGAAAGGACCCTGGTCACCCGGCCGGGGAATCGAACCCAGACCCTTCTTGCTGTGAGGCTGTTTTTATATTGACCTTGCATTGTAAGCTTTAACTGTAATCTGATTGCAGAATATACTGTTTTCTTTGTATCCGTAACGCTTTACATGTATTCCATTTCTGCCTAATCCTGATCCTGATAAGACCATGACGTGACTATGGAATAACGATGAGACTTGAGAGGTCTATTGTTGTCGATTTCCTGTACATTGTGACTCTGCATAATTATTTGAACGTATTTACATAATTGCATCATTAATTGCTTAGTCAGTTATGTAATAAATGAAATGCCTTTTATATTCTGTATTGACAGGTTTGAGCACTTTTTTGTTGGACGCCAGAAAAAGACAAAAATATTACAAACAATATACAATAAATAATATCAAATTGCAACTAGCTTTTGTCATCACCTTATAAACCTGCTGCCTGTAGAGGTTAATTCTGTGTCCCTCTCTTTTGCTCAGCTTCTGAAGGACTTCCCTGATGAACTGCGAGCTGATATCGCCATGCACCTGAACAAGGAGCTGCTGCAGCTGCCTCTGTTTGAGTCCGCGAGCCGTGGCTGCCTGCGCTCGCTCTCCCTCATCATCAAAACGTCCTTCTGCGCTCCCGGAGAGTTCCTCATCCGCCAGGGGGATGCCCTGCAGGCCATCTACTTCGTCTGCTCTGGATCCATGGAGGTGCTCAAGGACAACACAGTGCTGGCCATACTGGGTGAGTTACACAGCTGTGGACAATCATGGATGAGTTCTTCGTTTTCATCATCAGGAGCTCAGTGATTCAGAGCCTAAATCGAATCCTAAACCAAAGCCTGACCCTCACCATTACCATGACCATACGTTATCTTTAAAGGCTTTTACACACTGAAGACATCGTTAAAAAATTGTAAAATATTCTGAGTATTACTTTTTTAATACAGTGTATTGTCACTGTTGGTACAAATATTTGTATCTTCAATAGTGCAAAATTACTTGGGAAAATTTTGGTTCCATTAACTTCCATTCAAATATACTGTATAACAGTTTATACACAGTATCTCATGTTATATACAGTATATATCAGGTTACATACAAAATATATCAGGTTATATTTTGTATATCAGGTTATATGTAGTATCAGGTTATCTACAGTATATCAGGTTACATACAGCATTTATCAGGTTATATGCAGTATATCAGGTTATATACAGTATATCAGGTTATATGCAGTATGTATCAGGTTATATAGAGTATATCAGGTTATATATAGTATATCAGGTTATATACAGTATATATGAGGGTATATATAGTATAGCAGGTTACATACAGCATATATCATGTTATATACATTTTATCGGATTGTATGCAGTATCAGGTTATATATAGTATATCAGGTTATATGCAGTATGTATCAGGTTATATAGAGTTTATCAGGTTATATATAGTATATCAGGTTATATACACTATATATGAGGATATAAATATATATAGTATATCAGGTTATATGCAGTATATATCAGGTTATATAGAGTTTATCAGGTTATATATAGTATATCAGGTTATATATAGTATATATGAGGGTATATATAGTATAGCAGGTTATATACAGTATATATGAGGGTATATATAGTATAGCAGGTTACATACAGCAAATATCAGGTTATATACATTTTATCGGATTGTATGTAGTATGTATCAGGTTATATATAGTATATCAGGTTATATACATCATATATCAAGTTATGTGCAGTGAATATCAGGCTACAGTCTATAGCAGTTGTATACAGTGTACAGTACATTTACAGTATATACATACAATATATTTCAGATTGTATACAGTATATAACGGGTTATATACAGCATATGTCTGGTTATATATAGTACATGTCAGACTATATACAATATATAAATTTACACACATTATATATTATATTATGTAGTGTATATAACAGGTTACATAGACTCTATATCAGGTTATACACAGTATGTATCAGATTACATATAATATAATTTAGTTTGCATTCAGTCTATATCAGTTTATATGCAGTCTATATCAGGTTACATATAATCTATATCAAGTCATATACAGCATATCAGTTTATATACTACATATCAGTTTACACACAGTTTATATCATTGGTATTTGTATAAGATACATGAGTTAATATACAGTATTAGGTTATATAAAGTATATATGGGGAAACAGCACCGGTACAGTGTTGTAGACTCAAATTGAGGGTGGAAGCTTCGCTGGTAGAAGCTTCTCATAGGTTGTGTATGTTTTTGAACAGTGCCCCCTATGTGCAGTACCCCAAAAAATTAACCAAAGAGATTCCTTGACTCACACTCTATAACTAAACTGACACTATTTGCAACTACATTTTTCTGGATGTAACAAAGCCTGTAAACGCTGACTGAACAGAAACGTGCTTCACAATGTGATTAAGTTTAGAGAAGGTTTATTGTGCTGGATGATTTTTATTGACAGATGCTCTCATCTTTGTTAGGCTCTAAACATTTAGGCAGCTACAGCATCACTTTATGTCACGCGAATCAAGGCCACTTAGCAATTAATTCAAGAGAGGGAAACGATTCAGCCTTATAGAGATTTAATGAAGTGTTCTGATATTGTAATTTTGCAGGCTTTTAAAAGTCTATTTGAAATTCCTCCCACCTGTCAGGAGCGACGGTGGACCCTTGCAGAGAGGAGTGAGCAGAAATATAAACCATAAACATACACGCTAAGGAGCGTATAGAGCTAAAAACACCATCATATATAAATACATAATGCATAAATACAGCCGAATGCAGAAAAGACTGAGTACTTAAACTGCGGGTTTGGACTGAAGTGAAAACATTTCACACATTTATAACTATTGTGAGTTGAGGCTCTGTCAGTTCTCTCTCTCTCTCTCTCTCTCTCTCTATGTCTCTCTATCACACAAACAGGCTGTGATTTTACTAAACAAACCTCGTCCGCCCACCATCTCCTCTCACAACTGTCTCAGAGACTCCTACATAATTTTCAGCTCTATTGAACAGTAAATACCCCTTTTCCTCCTTTCTCTCTCTCTCTCTCTCTCTCTCTCTCTCTCTCTCTCTATCTTCCCTTTCATTCTCTTCCTCTCTTGCCCTTTCTTTCTCTCTCTTTCATCCTCTTTCTCTTCTCTCTCACTGTTCCTTTCTTTCTCCCTCTCTCTCCTTCTCTTACTCTCTCTTCCACTCTCTCTCTCCTCTCTCTTCCACCCTCTCTCCTTCTGTTTCTCTGGTTAATCTCTCTCTTTTTCTCTGTCTCTTTCCATCTTTCGCTCTGTCGCTCTCTTTGCTTTTCTCTATTTCGCCCTTTCTCTTTTTCATTCTTTTCTTTTTCTCTCTTGCTCTTTGTTTGTCTTCTGCTCTTTTGCTCTCACTTTTCTCACTCACTTTCTTTCTTTCTCCCTCTCTTTTTCTCTCTCTCTTTCTCTTGTTTTTTTCTTTCTCCTTCTTCCTCTCTTTCTTTTCTCTTTTGGCTATTTCTCAGTCTCTTTCTTGCTTTCCACTCTCTCACACCTTTCCTTCCCTTTTCTCTCCTTCCCTCTTTCTCTCCTACTTTCTCTTTTTCATTCTTTTCTTTTTCTCTCTCTCTTTCTTTGTCTTCTGCTTTTTAGTTGTCACTTTTCTTTTACTCTCTCTTTTTCTCTCTCTCTCTCTCTTTCTTTCTTTCCCACTCTCCTGCTCTTTCACTTTTCTCTCCCACTCTCAGAGTTCTTTCTTTCTTTCTTTCTTTCTTTCTTTCTTTCTTTCTTTCTTACAGTCTCTTTCTTTCCCTTTCACTACCTTTCTTTTCTCTCTATCTTTGTCTATCTGTCTTTCTTGCTTTCCACCATCTCTCTCTTCTTTTTCTTTCCTTCTTTTTTCTCTATTTTTCTTCTTGCTTTCAACTCTTTCACCATCCTTTTCTCTTTCCTTTTCTCTTTTTCTTTCTCTCCTTCTTTTTCTCTTTCTCTTTCTTTGTCTCCTGTTTTTTTTGCTGTCACTTTTCTCTCACTTTCTTTCTTTCTCTCTCTTTCTTTTTCTCTCTCTCTCCTTCTCTTTCACTTTTCTCTCTCACTCTGTTCTTTCTTTCTTTCTTTCTTTCTTACACTCTTTTCTTTCCCTTTTACTACCTTTGTTTTCTCTCTATCTTTGTCTATCTCTCTTTCTAGCTTTCCACCATCTCTCTCTCTTGTTTTTCTGTCCTTCTTTTTTCCCTATTTTTCTTTCTTGCTTCTCTCTTTTTTCCTTATTTTCTCGCTCTCTCTTTCTCTCTCTTCATGTTTCTCCATATCTTTAGCCCCTCTCTCTCTCTCTTTCTCTCTCATTTTCTTGTATTTTTTCCTTTTCTCACACACACTGTTTTTTACCCTCTCTCACCAGCCATTGCTTGGATTTGTTAAACATATTATATGAACACAAACATATCATCATATTATGTATCATTTTCTCAGGTGGCCACAGAACTGCTCAGCACTGTATTTATGGCAGTTACAGAAAATAATATGTAAATATACAGAATAATTTTCAGCACAAAGAGAAAAATAAACAATCTGTGACACGCTGGACATTATTCATTCATCATATTCACAGAAGGAAAATCCCCTCACGCCCACTCACAGTCCAGCGCTGTTTAGTGTTTTAATCTCTTTGAGGTTTAGAAGCTCCGCTGACATTTTGCTACTGAAGGTCATCGCTCTTTAAATGATAAACGGAATAGTAAAGAGGGAATTGAGATTCACAGACAGTGAAGAGCTCTCCTCTTTCTGCTCATTTTAGGCAATCTTCTGCCCTCTGCGAAGACTCCGTTATTGAATACTTTATTAGTTTCATCTTCCCTTTGGTCTGTTTGTATTTCTGAGATTAGATAAGATTACAGATGCATTGATGTGGAATCTCTGAGCTGATACAACAATAAATAATTAACTTGATGTGACCAATGCAGAGATGAATAACCAAGCTAAAAAATAGGGCTGTAATTATCAGCGGTAATTCCGATTGGATCAATAATATCGGATCAATAATAATAATTAAATTATTCCATTTCTCAGCTAGTCGTACACTGACTGCCAAAAAGTTGATTTAATCACTATCAAACAGAGAACAATAAACCAAATCAAATCAAACCAGTCTGAGTACATGGTGAGACTTGGTTCCCTACAGTGGGATTTAGTAACACTCAGTTATCCTCATTCAATTCAGTTCAGTTTTATTTGTTGAGAACTTTTTACCGCAGTCAGGAGTGACACCAAAGGAGACAAGTGTCAGGAAAAACTCACTAACAACATGAGGAAGAGCCATCAAGAGGAACCATAACTCTAAAGGAGAACCACCATAAGAGCGTGAGGACGAAAACTCTCAAGGAGAAACACTCTAAGAGCGTGAGGAACAGCCGCTGTCAGAAAAAACTCAAAAGGGGAACAAAAGCTCAAAACGGAACGTGGAAGGAACACTAAGAAGAAGCAAGGCTCCAAAGGAACATGAAGAAGAACCATCTAGAAGAATGAAGACTCAAAAGGAGAAACTCTCTAAGAGCATGAGGAAGAACCATCAAGACGAACCAAGAATCAAAAAGAGGAACACTCTAAGAGCATGAGGAAGGAACACAGAGAAGAACCAAAGCTCAAAAGGAGAAACTCTCTAAGAACATGAGGAAGAACTGCTGAACTCCCAAAGAGCATCTGAAAGGAACCCAAACAGGATGGCAGATACAGAAACCTTTCG